CAAAGGTAGCTACTTTACAAAGCCCTCAGGGCTGAGGGAACAAAGAGAATAGGGAGCAACGGTGACAATTCAGGAGCCTAGAGGAGGAGAACTATGGAGCTGAAAGTCTGTCTCTGAGGAGGCTGCTGGATCCACGCTGGGAAGAGGGACCCTGTGGGGCAGAGGTGGCAGCTCTGAAAGATCCTTGTGTCAGGAGCAGGGAGAGGCCCATGAAGTTGGTTCTGCAAATGCTGGGAAAATGCCAAACAGGACTCAAAGGCTCCTAACTGGAAGGAACTGCTACTGTCAGGATGAAGAAGTCCTGCGGGCATGACTCAGAGGCACTGCGGGATAACTGAGGCCCACCGGAGTAGGGGTGGAGCTGGCCCTTCCCCTCCCTCCTGGGTGGTGGTCTCCCTCTAGTGTTCTCTATTGTCAGAACCTAATGGGTACCGACCCAGCAAAGAGGCCCCTGACGTGCAGAGCCCAGCCCAGTATACACAGAGGAGGGTTTGGAGGTTAAGGCCAAGAACTCAGTAACGGGAACAGATAATTTCCCTTGCCCAACTTTGAATTTAAAAAAAGGGAGATAAGGCTGAGAGAATGTAACCAAACCAAAACTATCTTGCTAAGATAACAAAATCGGCAAGAGGGAAGGCTGGGATTTACATTTTATATCTTGATTGTAAATGTCATACTTTTTTCATTACACCACATTTCCTGAGGCCCAAATGATTGAAATAACTCCCCTAGAATCACATACTATTTCACCAGCAAAGACCTTGAAAAACATCGTCCAATTTATCACTTTTTCTCTATATTGCCCTGACTCAAAAATGTCTCACTTAGATCAGGAGAAATCAAGTTTGGGGGGATAGAGAAGTCTAGGGTGGGAAGAGCGGAGGATCTCAAAGCTCGTTTTCAGCAGGAGACACCTAAGCCAACGGGACAACAGCAAAACTGAGAGATGCAAACACCTCATTCATTTACGAACTCATTCATGCAATAACCAATTATTGCGTGTCTACCTCATTCCAGACACTATTTTAGACAATGATGGCTCAGATTTGGATAAAAATCCCTGCTTTCATGCAGTTAACATCCTAGCGAGGGAGCCAGACAAGAAGTAATATAAATAGCGTACATAGTCTGCTAGAGAATATAGAAATATAAAGCAAGGGAGTGGTTGCATCTCCCTTTACGGTTGTCAGAAAAATCCTCGTAGAGAAGGACCCTGGGACCATGAACTGAACCAAAGGCAGACACTTAACGACTAAGCCACCCAGGCGCCCCAAAGAAGAGCTTAAATTTAAAACAAAAATAAAACCAACTGGATTCCTAAGGAAACTGATCTTTTGTCTGAAAATCTATTAAAATTTTATTTGGTTCTCATAACTCTCTCCCTCCTCTTTTTTTTTTTTCCATCTAGCACATGAATTAGCAGTGACATGTCAGAGATATTTAGAAATTTGCATGTATATATCTATATAGTTATAATGTGTGCTGTATATGTATGTAAATATATATTTATAATATATTTAAGTATTTTGACATTTTTATTTCCTGTTATATTTGATCAAGGCATCAGTTGAATAAAAAAAAAAAAACACACAACACTTTTTCCCTCGCAATGCAGGGAAAGCCTATTGTAAAAGTAAATTGATTGCTTGAGTAGACATCTCAATTTCTGTTTCCTTTGATTTTCCTGTCATTTAATGCTGAAAGCCAATATTCTCCTAAGTCTGTAAACTTTATTTTTACTTACTGAATTTCTGAAAGATGCAGCTGGGGAGGGGTTTAGAGGGAAAAATAATGTGTCTAGAATGTTGTTATTAATATATACAGGAGCTGTCATGTAAAGAATGACTAGAATGTTGTTAATATGACTTCAGCACAATACACATAGCCTCTAAATGGTGACATAAATTACATCCAGTGTTCATATTGCTGCCTGATGCTATTACCTAAGACAATATAAATTTTACACTTGAAGTAAGTTGGCTACAGTTTTCAATAAAGATCCAGCTCTCTCATGCTGCACCTCCTACAGCAAAACTAATTAGGACATTACACTAGTGACAGCTAGAATCCTCACGATGTTGTGTAATCTTCTGGGATTCAGTACTATTTTGCCCCATTAGCTTTTTCTTACTCAAAAAGAAAATCCTGGATTTGTTATTCTTTGACACGTCTACAAATGAAACATGAACAGCATTACATATATGAATGTACATCTTTTCCATACTTTGGGCTTCACAGATCCTTACTGAACAATGAAATGAAGAGATAGTGAAAACCATAGGAACAGACAAGGAAATTCAACTCTATTTGATATTATTTATTCGTTTGGAATAGCTTTGATAGGGAAAGCGTTTGGAAGGTCACCGGCCTTGAAGACGTGAGGGGTACATGTGAATATTTTTCACGGTGTCCCTGTATTATCACAATGAATTATTATAGCTTACTTTAAGCTTCCTTTGGCTAATAGTTGGTTTGCAAAAAGATATGTATAGTGCAGGAATTATGTAGTCAAGACTCATTGTTCCAAGAAAAAATGGCCTTGAAGAAAGGAATAAAAAAGACATAAAAATTTGAAGTCATGAATTAAGTTTCATTAAGCTGTACTGGGATAAAGGCAATATACAGTTGAGGAAGGGATTACTCAAATGTTTTGGCATACATTCACCTTCAAAATATTTGGAAGAAAAAAGTGAATTGCACTGTCTTATTGACAATTTTGAATCATGTGGAAAAAAAGCTACAGATCTTTGACCAAACTCTGAAAATAACTTTTCACCTACCTCCTCCTACTTAGCAAATATGTCTGTCACCAACAATTACGTTTTTTATAGTTGTCAGCTTGTCCAAACGTATATATTCTTCATCTCCATCTTTTCAAACTACCTTATTTTTAGATTATGAATAATGTTACCAAATCTCACACTTCATTTTTTATATATATTAGTAGACAACAGGAATCAGTAGAAAGAATGTGGATTTGGAATCCTGATTTTTAACTGGGGTATGGATTCCTACTTACTCACTGGAAGACCTTGAACAAGGTAAATATCTTCTCTGATTCATTAGTGAAGTGGGAACAGTAATACCCACCCCTGGTCTGAGTTAAAGCTTAGAAAGTATCTGGCCTTCTATAGGTACTTAAATACTATTTTATTCCCCTTTGTTTTCCCATTTATTAAAAAAAAAAAATCTTAGGGGCTTTCTCCAGGACTCTTATGGAATTATTTTCTTCTGTGTCTGTATAAGTCTCTATATTGCCTTCTTATGCTTTAATTTCAAAAGTTTTATACTGAATGTTGCATAATCATATGATTATTTTTCCCTTATGATAACATAACCTACATTCTTGTGGCCTCTTTGAGAATTTTTTAAAAAGGAAAAAAAGAAAAAGCAAAACCTAATTTAAGTGAGTCTCAATTGTTTTTTATACATATTTGAGTATATCTTGGTTGAAACATACCACCTAAGACATAAAAGTTGTATGCAATAAAAACCCGATACAACATCTGTAGTTTATAATTTAGCATTAGAAGTTTTATTGAAATTCCCATGCAATTCTAGCTACTTTTAAACTATTCAATTTTCATTTAAAAGAAGGAAAGAAAGATTTAAAAAAAAGGAAGGAAATTATAAGAACTCAGCATAATTTTTTAAAAAATTGTATTGATTAATATAGTTTGAAGTATTTTATTCATCACCTTTTGGTAAATAACTGCATTTCTTTTAAAAAGTTCAAAATAGCATTAGATTTTTTAATGCATTATAATTTGTTTTTGAGGGTTTACTAAGAGCTACATTTATTAGATTACAACTGAATTTGTGTACCTACAACTTTCTGTTAAAGGTTTTACCATCTTCTCTAGAAATGGGCCTGCATTAATCTTTATCTTCTAGCCCTGCTATTACCCCATTGATACATTTCACATTAATTATGTATCTCTCTCCTTTAGATCCCCCAGGAACCAGTTTCTAAGCCCAATAGCCCAGGTGGATGGAATATATCTATATATCATGCTCATGTTACTTTCCTGGTCCATTTTGAAATTGCCTCTTTTGATAATGGTTTGAGTCTCTGCACACAAATTTCCCTCTTTTGAGCATTGGTGATTTTTATTCAATGGAAATATTGACCTAGAACCTGGTCACTGAGTTGTCTATTCTTAGACCTACATATTATCACTCACTCTTCTTAAATGTGTAAACTTCTTGCTATTACACAGTAGTAAGTGTGAAGCAACAATAAACTGATTGAATTCAACATTTTGGGTGAATTATTTATAGCTAGAAAGAAGGCATCCAATTGCCAACATTTAACAAGCTTTATGTACTAAGTATTATACTTATCACTTAAATTCTACCTTTTAGATGAGTGGTAACAAAATACATTATACATTTCCTTATGTATGGAAATATTTCACAGAAAGCCAAGACCATACAAAATAGTGGGTCATCACATTTAGTGTTTCATAAGTAGTTCTTGCTTTGCACAGCAGTGCAAGACTGTAAAAATGAGAGAGGAAGCTGAAAAGATACAAAGAAATTTTAAGCAATGGGAAAACTTATGATTTTTTTCTGGGCATTAAAAATATTTTGTCAACAAACACTTTTAAAAATGTATAGGGCAATGAAAAAAATAATAGCAAAAGTATTATTTCCTTAGTAAACTAGTATTTAAAACACTAGGAACATTGATAATTAAGTGTTTTGTCGCAAAACTATCAATAGTAGTTTGAACAGTGCTTGCCATCTTATAACTTAAAATATGGAATGAGGATCTTATCTATGCCTTGGAAAATTGCCATACTCCTTTCTAAGTTTGGATCAGTTCCCAATATCTTATCCTTCACATTTTCAACATTGTGAAATATCCTCAAGATTTCCTTTAATGTGAGTTTCAGCGGGTGTCACTTTCTCTTGGACATCTTCATCCTTTCCATTGCTACCACCTTCCTCATTTGTGTCAAAAAAGGTCACCATAACTCAGTACTGTGGCTGCATACCTAAAGTCCCATGAATGGCTGCTATTTCTTCTATAATTCCACTTACATTCAATTCAGATTTCACATTCATATTTACCATTTTGTTTCTATGCTGCTCTTTGATGTTTTTGGTCAATTTCCCACTTTGATTATCCATTTTTATAAACTATCACATGAGTTTATCCCTGCGAAACAAAGAGGCAACACAAGTACACATTTTTCTGTCTGTGCATGAACTGAACAACAGAAGTGGCATGACCAGTCACCATCAGACTTTCAAAGAAGTGATGTGACTTATAACTGATTATGATGCCTATCTGTTATGCAGTGATTTGTGGATGGAATAGCTGGGAGCAATGTACTTTGTATAATTACTCACAGTTAATATACCGTGGTAACTAAAATTTGGACCATGTTCTCTGGAGAATTATGTTATTTAACTAAACCATAGTAACTGAAATGTGCCCATAATGAAACTATGAAATCTAAACAATACATGACTTTTTAAAAGTGTGCACTATTTTGCTCTTCATGATTACACAGCTAGACTCTATATAGTTGCACAATAAATATATATATATATCAGGATTTGGAAATTGAAAAAATGCTGCATGTAATTTTGTGTAAATTATTGAGTAGAAATGCATATAGCACCTATTACTTACATAAGCACAATTCTAAATCTTCAGCAAAGGGACATGTTATTCCAGCAGGCCTATGATCTATTCAGCAGTCTCTGGAACTCTGCAGTCACTTTAAGGGGCAGTAATTAACCACCAGAAAATTCTCTGGGACTTAATCCCTTTCTGACATAATTCCTTCTAAGCCCATGGATCTGCTCCTTTTTCTGAGACAGTAATTATTAAGGGACATTCATTAAGCACCCCCTTTTTTAATGTATCCTGTCTGTGTTGGACACTATATATTCATTATTTTGATTATTAATAATGCTGCAAGGTAGGCATTAAGTAGTATCTGTAATTTACAGATAAGAAAATAAAGACCTAGAATGATCAGGTAACTTGTCCAAAGTTACAGATACAGATCTCTGGCCTCCAAATCTGGGATCTCCTCTCTAAGAGGAGTACTACTCTTCCCCGGTTGGGTAAATCTTCCAAGGACTGCATAGCAATAAACCAATAGATGGATCCTACCTGGAAGATGGATGGGATTAAAACCAATTATCATTTGTGAATCAAGAAGCATGGTTAATATCTACCCTACAGCACATGGAAGTCTAAAAAGCAATTTTCTTCTTCCAGATTCTTTCTGTTGATCAGGGGTATAAACTAATCTAAACATGGCCATACTCTCTCTTCCTCACCGTCTTTAAATTGTACTGAATATAATTGAGGGATTAAAATGTTTTCAGTTTTTATATCCCAGACACTCTATAGAAATGAGCTCACTGGGTTTTATAGAAATACAAAAGCTTTCTATTTACAGTAGCTTATTTGTTTTCTTTCTGTGTTTAAAACCATTGCTCATCTTTCTGTAATTGATCAACCTGTTTATAAAAAAAAAAGATCTAAGTTAAAATTGTGAAATTATCTTGGAAGGGAATATAACTTGAAAAAGGAATATCAAAAGAATATAACTCATAATTCTACCGTATGACATTGCCTTCCAATTTTCAGTGAAATATAAAATTTACTTTTAATTTTGAAGTATAACAGATTGTATCTTTTTAATTACCATAATAAATGTGGAAGTAAGGAACTGCATTTCAATTTTTTACTAAATGTCTCCAAAACCAATTAAAAGGAGTGAGGCTTTTATGTGGGTAAGACTTGAAGAGGGTGGATGAGACACGTGAGAATTGCCTCACCGTATTTTGAAAATGTTGAGGCTATAAAGTTGAGGAATGATGCTTTAGCATTTGATAGATGCTGTTTCAAAGCAGAATGAAGCATAAATATTAATTATTATTTTCTCCTAAATTCTTTTACAGCTTGTATCCCTGGTATTACACACTTCAACTTCTTGCACATCACCCATAAGCTCATCTGCAATTATCTCCTTCCTTACCACTTCCATTCCTGTTTGTCAGGATGTTATTTCTCTTGTCTACAGTTAATCTTTCAACCTGTGTCCTGAATCTTATCCTCTAAATTTCCTCATGGCCCTTGCTCCATCAGTTGTCTCTCCAGTTTTCTGTATCTTTAACGTGTCTCACTCCTTACTCTTGGTCTTCCTTATATACACTAGATCAAATCTTTGTTACATAAATATGACAATATGACATCCTTAACTTATTTTCTCTCCTTTTTCTTCCTCTGCCAAGATGATTCGAAGAATTGTTTACACTATGGTAATCTTTTTACTTTGTCAGATCACACTCTGAAACTGGATTCTGCTCCTGTTACCCCATTGAAATTGCTCTAGAAAAATCCAGTAACTTCCAAAATGCTAAATATTAAGAGCATATTTCAAATCCTATTTTTCTGGACTTGGTCATGACCCTTTGAAAGGATCTTTGAAAGGCTTACCTTCATTACTATGATGCATCTTCCTGGTTTTTTCTTTCCTAAATTGCCATTCCTTTCCACTTCCTTCCTATTTTTTCCCCTGACTTTTGGGGGTTGGCATCCTCGATTGTCTCCTGTTCTTACTTTACACAAACTTCTAAAGACTCTTGTCCTCACTTATTCCTTCATCTAACATAGGTATTCCCACTTATACTCTGTCCATACCTCTCTCATAAGCTCCAAATTGTAATCTTAAAATGGCTCTTGTGCATCATCGTCTCAAGGCCCCTCTTCCCTCCAAAGCTGTTCTTCTTCCTGTCCCCCTTATCTTAGTTAATGGTACCAGTATCTACCCCATCCCCCAAGTTAGTACTGTCAAAGCGTTCTCCTGAACTCCTCCCATTTGCAATGACTACGTGAGGCCCTTATTATTTGGGGTCAATAGCTGCGATGGCATTGGCCTTTATCTTCTTCATCCCCTAAATCAACTTCACACTGCCACTGGAATGATTTTTAAAAACACAAACATTTTTGTGTTCAAAATTCACCAACTGCCCTCAATTATATTCAGGATAATTTATGAGTTCCTCATCTAATTAGACCAGGTTCTTTTTGTATCTTGCCTGCCTTCCAGCTTCTTCTCTTTCTGTGGAGATAACACTTAATATATACCTTACAGCATTATCTCAAACTTAAGATGAGAAAATAAAGGCCCCCAGCATCACTGGGTAGCTAACTTTCCAAAGTTACACAATTGGGAGATGCTCCTCCTATCCTCCTGTGAGGATACACACATTTTGCACCAGCCACACTCACTTATTGGCAAGTCTTCAGAGGTGCAGTGCTCTCACACACTTCAGTCATCTGAACAAAGCCTTCCTCCTGCTGGAACAGTCTTCCTCACACATTCACTTCACTACCTTCGAGAGATAGCTGCAGTGTGACCCCTCCTCTGAATCATTCTCTAATGTCCCAGTGATGATATAACACACCTCCCTTGTGTTTCTTCCTACTTCCATAACATTTATTTATTTATTTTATTTATTTATTTATTTTTTTAAAGATTTTATTTATTTTTTTGAGAGAGAGAGAATGAGAGAGAGCACATGAGAGTGGGGAGGGTCAGAGGGAGAAGCAGACTCCCTGCCGAGCAGGGAGCCCGATGCGGGACTCGATCCCGGGACTCCAGGATCATGACCCGAGCCGAAGGCAGTCGCTTAACCAACTGAGCCACCCAGGCGCCCCACTTCCATAACATTTAAACACCCTCTGGTTTTAGCATTTCTTCTGTCTTTACTATGACCCTCAGTTTACTGCCTCAGGCTAAACTCTCCTTAAACATTGTGTATGCCTCACTTCCGTGTCTCCTGCACTGTGCAGAGTGTCTGGAATTTGGTAGGGCTTCAGTTCTATTTTTTAATACACTGAAAGGCAGAGAAAAATCACTGATTTTTCTTATTTGTAAAATGAGAATTTGGGCCTACATGATCACTCAGATCCATTCTGTGACACTGTGAGGATGACTTCTGTGTATTTGTGTAAAGTTCTGTATGTGTTCTTAGAATGTGCAACTATCCTAGGGCCTGAAATATGGTGCACTTGGGTTAAATTTCATTTCTTTAGGACACATAGGTATTGATTAATTTTACTGCTATGCTGTATACGCATGGGTATGCATAACTGAGTTTAGACATGTTCACTGACAGACAAGGCAGACAGAGGTAAAATATATATGAAAGAGAATTTCAACTGACTGGTATATACATTAGGCTGTCAGTCTGACACACAAATAACTGGTGGGATAAGTCAATTAAGTGAAACTATCGGCCAGTTTGGTGGGGGCAAAAAAACCCCCCAGAACTTGAAGAACATTTCAAGTTAGTAATTTCACTAAAGTGAACTCATTCAGCACTAGGTTATTATTTGATGAAATTATTCAAAATTGTCTATGCCCTCAAAACTCATGGTATCATATGTGTATATTTTACATAGTAGTTGAGGGTATTAAAAACACGCAAAATATTTATTTTTGAAGGAAGAGATCTAGAGATAAATAATCATGCATATTTCCTCTTAGGCTGTTACATTCAGATACTCAAGATCTTAAAAGAGGCAGGGATCTAAAAAAAAAAAATCAGTTTAGAAATAACAGCTATTTACTTGAGTTCCCTTGTTATTATCATATGTATCATATTCAAACATAAATAAGTTTCTCAAAATCAAATTTCTAGGCACACTGTTTACAGATTTTGCCTAATCTGGGTAGCAGATTCTTGATTCTGATGGAAAAGAGGTATCTATTTCCAGAGTATAAATATATAGCAATGGGATATTAACTCAAAAGCATACAAAGTTTGAATTCATAATATGTAATTAAAAGTATTTACTTGTTGGTTTATGTAGGCATTTTCCTTTATACAAACAGGATTTATGGAGAATTACATAACTACATAAATACTGCATAGTGAAATGCATTTATAATAAGGAAAAGGAGACCAAAAATAAGGAACTAAGAATCAACATAGAGGCAGGGATATATTGAAAATGCAAAATCTAGGCAATGAGGCCCTGCATACTTGCTCAAGGAAGACAAAAAATTAAGTTTTCTAGGAGCAGCAGAAGAAAATAAAATCAGTCATATAAGACACAGCATCTAAATCCTCTGGTTTTCCTAGAAAGTTTGCTATAT